GCGCGCGCTTAGTAGGCCGCACCTAGAGTTGGCTGGAGGGCCAAGGGTGGCGCGCGCAGGGCAACAAGTGGGAGAGCTTGATTGCAGCGCCCACCCTTGTACCCCAGGGTTACAGGCCTCCGCTACCAACGCAGCACCCCACTTCTGGGGCAAACACACACGGGCCCCCAGCCTTAGGATCTCTGGACACTGCCCTCCGCAGAGCCACCTAGGCCCTGGCCCGGGTGGTCAGAGAGGCAAGGGGAGGTTTTGTTAGCCCCCTTCTCTACACACAGCTAACCTCAGCCACCCTCCACCGCCGTGGGTGCCTTCCCAGAGAGGGAGGGGAGATGAACTTGTGCCCTCCGTGGCTATGGGACACGCGGCCAACTTCTGGGCCCACTTCGAGCAAACCAACTTGGCATTTTCTCTATACATATTTCCCCCCTTATCCTCATTTCCTCGCCGACTTGAGGGTGTTTTTGTGTTTGCTTTACTGTGTGTATTTCTGTATACCTCAACCCTCTCTGGAAGGAGACAGGCATAAGTAAAGCTGTGGGCAAGTAGGCGGTTCCTTCAGGATCACCCACACTTTGAAACCCAAATAAGCTCTACCTGCTGCCCTCCAACCCCCCTTTTCTGAATGGCAAGTGTCCAGGAGTCACTCTGTCCTTTTAAAATAGGAACGAATAAGCAACTGGGCGCGGGTAGTGGGGCCAGGATGAGGAAGACACACTCCACGTGCAGGGAAATCGACCAACACTGCAGAGGATGGATAAATTAATCCAGGAGGTGTCATGAGACAGGATGCATGCATTCATTCACTCGGTCATTCAGTATACTCCCTTAAGGGCCTGCTGTGTTTGAGGAAGAGCCCCGTGGAGTGGAGTAGTGGGGAACGAGTGGGGCTTCTAATTGCAAAGTCAACAGTTCAAAACCACCTAGGGATGAGGCTTCCTACTCCCACAAAGGGGCAGTTCTGCCCTGTTCTAGAGGGGTCACTATGAGTCAGAAATTACTCTAGCAGTGAGATTGGGGGGGGGGCGGGGGAGGATGTTAGAAACTGACCCAAACTCTTGGTGCATGATCAATAATGAAACCAAGTTCTCTGCACCCCAGTAACTAACTGAGGTAGGGTGCTCACAGAAAGACCCCATAGATGCCAAAGGAGATCAAAGGAGAGGTTGGGAGCCTGTGGTGGTTAGGAAATTCTGGGGGAGACAGGTTTGAACAGGCCTGGATGGAATTTGGATGGAAAGGCAGTGCTGCAGGGATCAGGGGGAAGGAGCTGCTGTTGTAGACCAAGCTTAGCGCTAACGTCACCCAAGTTGGCCAAGGGCCCCCGACAGGGCTGGAGAACCTCATTGAGATCTAGTCTTCGCCACAAGAAACACATCAGTGGACCCGACAGGAATGTCCAGGACACTGAGAGGTCAGATCCACTTTAATCTTCAGAACAGCCGAAGGTTAAACTCATTTCTACCTAGTCTTCTGACATTCCTCCTGATGTGTCCCGGCTGGGAAATGCAGGCTCCCTTGGCATTCTCGGGGACACAAGTTTTCTCTGCTTCACAACATCCCTTCCAGCCAACAAGTTGTCTTGTCATTTTCCCTCTTGCTTCTCAGCCAAGTGCAGTTCTTAGAAAAGGAGGCAAGACCAGAGTCTTAGTTGTCGAGCGCTGCTATCACAGAAAGACACGATGGATGGCATTTACAGACGGAAATGAATTCTCTCACGGTGGAAGAGGCTAGGAGACAGTTCAGTGCACCAGCTCTAGGGTGAATCAATCTCTCCCCCCTCCCCCCCCCCCTTGGAGAGATCTCCATGTGTTTTAGCACCAGTGCCTCCCTCTGGGTCTAGGAGGATTTCAGTATAGGGACTCTGAACCCAAAGGATTTGCTCTGCTCCCAGCTTGTTTTCAGTGACCCTGAGAGCCTTGCCTGCTGGTTCTCTTCCTCTCTCTCACAAGAT